AAGACGAGCAGAAAGAGAGGAAAAGGGGGGAAGGGAGAGAGAGAGAGAGAGAGAGAAGACAAAGGAGAAAATACAGTTATCCATTCTAAATAAATTATATATTAATTTACTCTAACTCTAAGTCGTAATTAATACCAGGTTTCTCTTGTAAAAGATTTACCAAAACAGAAAATTCTTACAGACAGCCTCACATTTCCAAAGACTTGCAAATGTTCTATCTTCCATCGTGACGAATGGTTCTTTTTCGTTGGGAGCTTGATCGATCGCACGAGTGAGTGGCTTTGTCTGTCAACGACAACGGCAAGGAGACACGATACCTATGCGGACGTGGAAACTACTCAGCACTTCCATTGTCGCACTATCGGTTGCCGAGAACGAAGCTTGAGCCTGTCGAGAATTAATTAAGAAAAGGGAAGCTAATCAGTAACAGTACGGTGGTACAATGGTAAGGAAGATAGATTCAATGCTCCTTCTTCAATCAAATAAAAAACGGATACCTGAAATGTAACGATAAATCCTATTATCACGAAACTGGATCTGCGAGATGACGGATCGATAAGATGATACGAGATAAATCGCTTTGGCGCGACTATCGATGGAATCGGTCCCGAACAAATGGTGTCGGGACAAAGAGAACCGTGACGAACGAACTACTACGCTCGAGAAGAGAAGACGAACTGACGCTTTGGAACGTCTGCGCTCGGTAATTTTCGTTCGCGTTGAATCGTTTTTCGAGATCGTCTTTGGTTTCAAGTCGACGGTCAACATTGTCGCCGTCGTCGCCATCGAGCTTCGTCAGCATCGTTAGTGATCCGATAAGAGCGACAGCACTGTGCCTTAAGGCCTACTTAGAATGACATTCAAACTATCGTGTGAGAATAGTTTATATACGATTAGTGATTCCTTATCTTGTGGAGTCTTTTGAGAATTCACGTAGCCTCAACATATCTTTATCTTGCTTTAATTTAAAATCGCCACGCGAATTGTTCACGATCGTGAAATTTTCACGACTTAACAATACGACTTAACGATACAATATTGTATCGATCTTTATTAAAAATGCCACATCAATAGGATCGGCAATATTTCAATACAATACAAAAATAAAATAAAATAAAATAAAAAAGCCAAAAAACAAAAAAATTTTTAAATCCAAGAAAATCAAACAATTAAAAAAACTACAAAAAAATCAAGAAATCTTTCATTTAAATAGACCTTCATATATTGCTAAGGATAGAAAAGAGACACAAATAGCGATGAAAGAAAGAGGTGAGAACGAAACCCGATACTCGCCTTCGTCGCAGCGAACGTAAGCACTTTTAATCTAACTTCGACAAAAGTGGAGCGAGTGGTGTTGCACAAAACGACCCGAAACAAAATAATACTTACGTTCCTATGAGTCTATAGAGGCCAAGGTCTACGTAAATTATCTATGAGAGAGGCCTGAGAAATTTTCGATCTTTCTCAGGAAATTAGATAAGGGTAGAATAGGTACGAACCCTCGTTCGTCTCGAGAATTTATCGCTGGCAAAACTCGGATGATTATTCCGGAGCGCGTGTGGCGGGTAGAAGAAGTGTAACAAAGAATGTCATTACGGTCGCTAATGACAAACCAGAGGGGTAAAAATTACCGACGTATAAATCTCGAAGGCAGAAACGTCAAAATTACACAAAGTCCCTTCGAAAGCGGAACGGAAGAATTATCGCGTCGTATGTCATGCTCCCGCGCGACCACCCGCGAACCCGCCGAAGGTTGCCTTTCCTCGGCGGTAATAATCGACATTCGCCCGAGTCAAGAGCGGCCTTTTCGCTCGATATTTCAGTGCACGCACACGACGACGGCAGCGGCGGCTCGGGTCGGTCCTGCCAGCTCGCGAATATCGCGCTGCCAGTGCGCGCGGGGAAAGCGAGGAATGGGGAACGGACTCGTGAGAACCGCGACCGGTACAGTCGGTTAATTGCGTCGAAACGCGCAAATATTGCCGTATTACGTGCACGTTTAGTAGTTACGCCAATGTGCGTGCGCACATTGCCGCAACGCGGGCACCCACGCACGCGGGCTCGTTCACCCGACGTGTGTTCCGTGCGCTAATTACAAACGAGATACTCGCTCGCAGCTCGTACGCGCGCCGGTCGATCTCCGTTCCGCGCCCGCTCCGGCCGCAGTCGCATTACGCGAGAGACTTTTGCAAGTGTGTGCGCGTTATGCGATGATAATCATACTAACCGCCACACAACCCCGGATAGGTTACACGGGCCTCTGTAACAGGGGCGTGGCACCCACGCGGTGGATGCACGCGTAATGCATACGGCGCGCGCGCGCGCACGCACACATACACACGCCCGCGCCGTGTGAAATTTATACAACCGACGTGTTTTCACTTCAGACTATTCGTCGGCCTTCTTCTGCGGCACACGGCCGCATAAATTCGCGCGCGGTTCGCACGAGATTTCGTTACGTGCTCGCGCGTTCTCAGAGTTCCGCGCAGCGCGAGTATGCCGGCTGTGTTTGCCAGAATTACAATCGTATCAGAATTACAGTCATATCAGAATCATATAGATAAATAAAAGCCAGAGTAAAGCTACAATGTAAATAAATTTCGACCGCAGTCGTTATCTGCATTTATATCAACATACATCCACATATTGTGTTTCATTTTCTGCGCCTTTGCACTTCATCGATTTCTTCTTGGTAATCTAGAATCAATTTGCCCTCAAAGAGAATACTAAATCATTGATCATTTGTATGTTATAGCATTGAAAAATTTGTGCACTGAAAATTAATATAAAATACTATAATTACATCTTTCTTTAATTCACAATTATATTTTATATAATTATATATTTTTAATATTTTGTAATCTTATACAGAAATACTTAAATCCTCTTTTATAAATTTTAGTTCTTGTTTTTATATTATTCAGATTATTATTATTATATATCTTACATATACAACCGCGTAACTAAAAAAAAATAAAAATATTACCAACATTACCGATAATTATCCGGTGTTCGAAATGACACGTTTCGTGTACCTTCCAAAACAATTTAACCGAAAGATAAGGAGTTGTGCAGCCAGCACGATCGCTTGTACGACGCGTGAATTATAGAATGTACACGTAATTACAAACGAGTAGTATGCACTCGTGGTCAGCCACCGACTTGCGAGCGTTTATTGGTGTTGGCGCATACACGTTAGAGGGATAAGCGTATATCCATTTCCAGTTATGATGTTCGTGTAATAAGGGTGCGATGTTCGCGCGTGTAACACGCGCACGTATGCGCGTGTGTAACTCCTAACGAGCACGTGGCCGCGCACAAAGTTTCGCGGCGCTAACTATGCGGTCATTACGAGTACCGTTTCGTACTGCGGAATTCAGCGAGCATTTAACATTTTAACACTTGATCCCTAAAAGGACAGACGCGGAAAAAGAGACGTGGAAAAAAAAAAGGAAGACGCAGAACTCCGTTCTTTCAAAAGTACAAATCTCTCCAAACAGCGACTCAACTTCGTAATGGTTGTATCCGCAGCGCGATCGAGAAACGGAGTTTAATTGCAATTTCACGTGCGTTCGATAAAGACGCGATGAAAGATACGTATCTTACGAAATCGCGATTCCTCGACATTGATACTCTGTAATCTGTACGATTGAAAACAGCAATCTTGATTAACGATTTAGTTTAATTACGATTTCAGATACGACTAATGGAGATATCCTTTTAAAACCTGGCAATTTTTCAACCGTGATTAAGATCGATCTAAGATCGATCTACATTACGTTTAATCAGAACAATTAAGTATAATTTTGAATTCCACGCTTTAGCATAATAAGATCACGGATAGCACACGCGACGCGCACAAAATCGCGAGCCCGCCGCTAAGAGATGCTCTTTTTCACCACGTAAAGAACATACGGTCGCCCATACGGACACTTTCACGGCCGTTGAGCGTTCCATAACAATGATAATTAGCGTGGCACGCTAATTAATCCGGCTCGCGTGGCTACGACAGTGATCCAATATATGGTGTAACGACGATTTCGCTTCGGGCAAGGCGACTCGTAATAACATTCGCGAAAAGCAAAGTCCTGCCGGACGGGAGAACGGCTCGAAATTGACCCTTACGCCTTACGCTCATTAATTCGCATCGGACGTTGCAAAATCGACACGCGATCGGGAATAATTGATTCCCGTACGTTCGCACGGCGAACTCGAGCCCGTCCGACTCTCGTCGATCTCGCGTTGATCTCGCGTTGCTCGACTCCGCGCATTCTACATGTCCACCGGTGTGCCTTTTTTGTGCTTTACACGAGCAGGACTACGTGCTTTCGATGGTCAAGGGGATACTCGGAGTGTGTCTTCCGTTATGTCAGGGTCGACGAAGGTATTTTCCCTGAATACGCTCGATTCGTTACGTTAACGTAACGGTCGGCCGTACGCTAATTTGATGCGCGGTTCACGGTTGGATTGAGACGAATGAAAATAGCGAGACAGGTATGAATTTACAGAATGTTTGATAACCCTGATAATCGGTGGCTTTGTATGCGCCTTAACTGTAATCGAGTCTCGGGAGTTTCTAATGAGTATCGAGTCCAGTTAGATTTTCAGAAGCTAATTCTATTCTTATGATTTTGTTAAATCGCTTTCAATCTCTGGTTTAAGTGGCACGGCGATTAAAATGTATAATCCAATTTCTGTAAAGTAAAACTCCAAAGGGATTATCCGTACGATTATTAATATTCTGTTATTCATTTCTTGAAGCAAGATCGCTACATTGTAGAGATATTTTAACTGAATTTTAAATGCCGACGAGTTTTAATGGAAAGACCGTCGGTGTACATTTAAAGTAATGAACGATTCAAGTATCGTTGTAATTATGAAAGAAATTACAGCTATTACTCGCTTCGACCTATTTATTTAATCAACTCGTCATAAGAGAGATCAAGATTTTTTATTTGTATTCTAGCTTATTAAAGACAATTGGCAACCGTATCGAGCGCGAACGTACACGATTCTATCTTTTTCCTACGCAAAAAAGTAGACAAATTGGAATAAATCAATTTTATTCATTATCTAGAAAAGCACTAACTCGAAAATAAAAAAAAACAGTACGAGTAAATTATCTCTCTGCATTAGAAAAAAAACAGTAAATAAAGAAAAACATTAGTAATTGCATTATAAAAATGATTCACTCTTTATATATAAGAAGGACCTATAGTATTCATATTATTCGTACATATCTGGAATCTTTTTTCAATTAATTTCATTTAAATCGTATTTAAATTTAATTTTAATTAAATATATATCATTCGGAGTAAAGCTGTTTAGACGATCAACTCGAAAAATACAGACAAGGATCGGCATGTCGAAGATAACTTTTTGCCGTCGAAAATCTTAAAAAAACTCTCGAATCGCTGTCGGCTCTACCAATGCTACCTAATAGCCTTGGCAGAAAGCGAGCTATTAGTTCCGCAGTCGCGCCACGAATTAACGAGACCGCGGTGCTTTTCCGTGCGGTCGGCACGAGCGAAGAGCACGAGGAACGACCGTGCGGCGTGCAGCAGGAACGACGGAACCGTTTCTCAATCATATTCCTCTTCTGCAGTGCCGTAATGCGTCTCGCGGTAGGCCACGTCGATTTGGACTCCGCTGATCGTAGGAGCCACGGTACTAATTAAAGCGCCGGCTAACAGAAGGTAATACGTAGGGCGCCTCTCTCTCTCTCTCT